GATGTCTATGGGGTCTCTATGGGGTTTATGGGGTGTCTGTGGGGTCTCTATGGGGTTTATGGGATATTTGGGGTCTCTATGGGGTCTATGGGATATTTGGGGTTTATGGGATGTCTATGGGGTCTCTATGGGGTTTATGGGATATTTGGGGTTTATGGGATGTCTATGGGGTCTCTATGGGGTTTATGGGATATTTGGGGTCTCTATGGGGTTTATGGGGTCTCTATGGGGTTTATGGGATATTTGGGGTCTCTATGGGGTCTATGGGGTCTCTATGGGGTTTATGGGGTCTCTATGGGGTCTATGGGGTGTCTGTGGGGTCTCACCCCGGTTCCCCCAGGTGTGACCCCATGAACCTGTCCCGCATGGTCCGGCGGATGCTGCGGGATGGGGACGACTCCGAGGACAGCGGGGACAGCGGGGACAGCGGGACCCCGCCCGGAGCCCCCCTGGAACCCACCCCCAGCACCGGGGGCACCCCCTGAGACCCCCCCGGGACCCCAAAACCCGCCCGGGACCCCAAAACCGGCCCGGCACCCCCCAATCTCCCGTGTGGGGTTTTTGGAGGTGCCGCTTTTTGGGGCGGGGGGCCCCAACCTCATTAAAGTGCCTGGAGGGGGTCTCGCTCCTGAGTGACCCTGGAGGACACGGGGGGGTCCCCAAAAGGGAATTTGGGCACGGGGGGGGGGGTTTTGAAAATTGCGGGGGGCTGAAACCCCTCAAAACCCCCGAAGACACCCCAAAATCCCCTCGGGGCACCCCAAAACCGTCTTTACCCCGATTGGGGGGATTGAAACCCCCCCATAAACCCCCACAGTGTCTCCGAACCCCCCTCAGTCTGCTCGGGGGAGGGATCCTAAACCCTTTTTGCCCCACTGGGGGGGTGAAATCCCCCCAAAATCCCCCCAAAAACCCCCAAATCCCCCCAAAATCCCCCCAAAAATCCCCCAAAATCCCCCCAAAATCCCCCCAAAAGCCGTCGAGGGAGCCGCGGAATCCCGCGGCGAGGGGCGGGGCTTGAATGCTAATGAGGGCGACGGGGCGGCACTTGCATAGCTAATGACGCGGGGGAGCGGCTCGTTCGACCAATCACAGCTCGGAATGCAAATAAGGCGCTGGGTAGGGGGCGGAGCTCCACGCCCACGTCGGAGTCTCAGCCAATGAGGAGAAAGAGGCGGGGCCGCGGGGGTGTGGGGGGGCGTCGTCCTCGCAGATTTCGCGAATCTCGCGAGAGTTCCGAGGAGGCCGCGGCGGCGGCGGGATGGGAGCGCCGAGGTGGGGCCGGAACGGGGCGGGAAGGGGGGGAAAAAAATGGGGGAAAACCGGGGAAAAGGTGGGAAAAGAGGCGCTCCGGGGTGGGGAGAGGAGCCGGGGAGGGGGTTCCGGCCGTTGTGGGGAGATGTCAGGCCGCGGGAGGGGCGGTGGCGGCGGGGAGCGGGGCAGGCCCCGGCTGAGGGGTGGCGGTGGGGAGGCCCCGGCTGAGGGAGGGGGCTCCGGGCTGTTTGAGGAGGGGGAGCGGGTGTGGGCTGGGGGCAATGTCGGTGAGCCCTGTGACACCTCCGTGCCGCCAGATGCCCCGTCACTGCTCCGCCGCCGGCTGCTGCACCCGCGACACCCGCGACACCCGCGGCCGAGGCATCTCCTTCCACCGGTGCGTTCCCCCTGGACCGAGACCCCCGGGACCGAGACCCCCACCCCTCCCGGGACCGAGACTCCCACCCCTCCCGGGACCGAGA